GACTTACGTAATTTTTCAATCATGAAGAATGAATAAAACACTTATTAAGTAACAAAAAAGAGAGATTATACTTAACAGTTTTTAAACAATTAAAAAAAGATTAATTAATAGGGAAAAAATTAAATTCAGTTTTTAAATAATGTTTATAAGTAATAATAGAAAATTTTAAATAACGATAGAAGATTAAGTACACATACTATAATCACATGCCTCTTCTAATAAATATTTAACAATTTTCCATGTTTTGCATGGAAAATTCTTTTCTCTTAAAAAAAAAACTTATTTTTTATTTCTTAAAAACATAACTAAAAGAAGAAAAAAATTAATCAAATGCTTTGGTAAAACAATAGGATTCTCAATCGAGGATTCGAGGATGTTTGTGATTCTTTTTTTTTTTCATTCTTAATAAAAGAATGAGAAACTTGCAGTGACTTCCTATTGAAAGTGCAACGTTTCGAATCAGTCCACATATTCCGTTCCTCCATTCTTTACTTAACTGCAAAATGTATCGAATAAATCATCAATCTTAATTATTGCGATATACATGCGGATATTCAGGACAACAAACACATATCTGTACTTTCTTTAATGTAAAATTCCACTCGAAAAATGGAATTACATAATCATTCAAATTAGAATGACTTTTTGTTCATATGCAGTAAATTCTTCCACTCGATGTCATGGAGTGAATATTTTCACTTCTAATTAAAGAATGAACTGAAAACAGTATACCAAGAAGAAATTCGATAAATGAATCACATTAATCGTTGTGTTGTTATCAACGATATATTTTGTTGAGTCGATGTTACATAGAAACGTCGACTTATTCGATAAAATGCTAATAAGATAAAATGCTACTCATACAGAATTAAATTTTTTTTTTTCTTAGGTTAAGATCTAATTTTATAAGTCATTTTGACTGATGTTTCACTTCAAACAAATAAAATATTAACTATGATTGATCTGCATCTCGAGTGATAGTATTTTCACTATCGATTGAGAAGTGAATTTTCATTCATTTTAAGTGAGATTTTATTTTGAAAAATTTAAAAAGTATATGCACATGCACATCAATAAACTTATGACGGAGACAAATGGTGTTTTCAAAAATGCTTCAGGTGGTGTTTGTGACTACACATAATCGCTTAAGCGGCATCGGATTAGCGTAGCATATCGGTACTTCAAGGGCAAATCCTGCTTAAACTTCGCGCGTATAGTATATCGCGCCCACCTCATGAAAATTTCATAAAAATTTACATGAATGGGACGTACCTGCGAAAACCGTGCATTATTTGTCTTTGTCAAGCCATTCTACAGCGACTTCGGGAGTACTCGTTTGTGCGACCCACGCGCAAATGCATTTCCCTCTGAGAGACAGCCGGTCCATTGCAGTGATATCTTAAGCACCGTCGACAATTCTTTTCATCTCGATCATATCTGTCTCCGCTCTTACGCCCGTTTCCTTTTCGTAAGTATCGTCGGAAATCTCTCGAACTAAAAATTCAGTGAGAAAAAAATGCGAGAAAAAAATTAATGAAAATTACACAAAGCAGATTTTTCCGTTTCTGACATTCTGACATATCAAGAAAAAAATTACAATATTTGTATTAATTATGTGTATTAATTATGTGCGAAGCAGTAATTGAAAAATGAATTGTGCAATCTTAAATTAACAATGTGTAATAATACGCTTGAGTAATCACATAACCTTATTGTCACGTGAACTATATAATTGTTATATCTTTTTTACTGTTTTTATATAATTTGAATATTATATCATTTTTTATTTAATTTTATATATTTCATGTAATTTAAATAATATGTAAAAAGACCGATTCTCAGTATGTGATTTGTAATCCGTCAATTAAACTAAACATTAATTTTGATGTTATAATAAATAATTATTCATTATTATTAACTCATAATTGGAACATATGAATCCTAATAACCCTGGGACTTTTTCTAATTTTTAAATAGTAACCATTTAATATGATTTTATGTTTCACGAAATTATTTTTTACAATTTTGTTTTTGAACAGTTCTTTAAAAAATTAAAATTATTAACGAAACTTTTGTTCAATTCTAAGAACTTCTTCTAGCATCCTTTAGTATCGAAAGATGTTTTTCTGTTATAAGTTAAATTTATATAATTCGTAGAAATTTTGGAAAACATTTATCTCAGATAAGATTAAAATACCATACAAAACTCAAGTATAAAATTCAAGATTTACGATACAATATTTAATTTAAGAGCATATGATAATGCGAAAAAACTCACAATGCAAGAATGAAGGAGCAGCGAGTAAAACTTATCAGAGTCTGTCGCCGGACATCGGAGTGCAGCCGACAGCATACGAGGATTTGATTGGATAGGTCGCTCGATTGCATATTGCATTCGACGAATATCGAAACCCCTTGTGCTCAATTAAATCCACGACAGCGCAGCCGATGGAATATCGAATTCGTAGAGTTAAATCGCTGGACGGTAAAAAAAGAATTGCGTTTGCGAAATCATTTCGCTAAAAAAAAGTATGGATAAAGAACAAGGGGGAGAAGAGGAAAAATATTGACGCTATGCAATGTGTCGATAATTTCGACTTCTCTCTGCAGTGTCCCCATTATGTCATACATCTTTTGAACTTTTACTTACTATTGTATTTTTTACTTACTATTGTAAATGTTCTTTGTCAGCACCCGTTATAACAAATACTATATTTTGCCCATCGTCCTATCAACTTTTTCGATAAATGAACAAAAATAACATTATACGTATTGATTAGAATATAGCAGTATTAAATTCATATTGATATATCGATATTATCAATGATATATATTACTTTTCGGAATCATAATAAAGTTATATACGTTCGTATAGGATATTCTTCGGAAAAGTTGATTCTATTCAGAAACCTTTCTACCATCATATAATTTTCCATTGAATTTTAAAGTTTTCATGACTATGTAACAAAGTTTCTCTTGCAGAAATTCAATGTACGCTCGTAAACTAAAGAAAATGTTTTAATAGTAAAAAAAGGTAAATCTCTTTTTCAAGTTATTAAATCGAATCATATCATTTTTCTCGCTGAATAAAAATGGAGTTGAATTAAATGTTTTTCAATATTATTAATTGCGCTTACAAATATGAGTCGCACTTTCATTAAATTCGATCATAATATAAATATATGTAAAGCTTTTATTACCTATTTTCTCAAAATATATACTATTCCTAAATAAATGTGAAGTTTAATATTGCATAAATAACAATAAACAATATAAATAATACAAGAACATTAAATTGATAACAATACAAAAATAATATTATATTTTCATACAATACATCGCTTCAATTTGATAATATTCGAAATACAATTTGTAAAATTTACCGAAACATGCATTATAGTTCGATGTTAATGTAATGTCAAAAATATATAAATCATTGTTTGTTTATATTTCGTCGACTTCTGTATAATATCGACCAACCGCGTCATAGAAATTTGAAAGTGCGGGAATTATTTGATGTGTGCGAAATGCCAGACTTTTACTGGGAACAAAGAGAAATTAAATTATCGCCCAATTCTGTGCAAAACGAATCGCTAGAACAGGTATTACTCAGGTTGAAAAATCCATCCGCGCGTCGCGATTGTAAAAGCCGCGTCAAAGCTTTGAAACAGAAAACCGATAGGAACAATCCTATGTGAAACTATCCTATGTTGATCCCGTTCGATTTTACGTACTTGCCCAACTTTCATCACCATTTTCTCTGTATTGCTTATTTCTCGTCGAATCTCACCCGGATTTTCCAGTACTGTATTCTTTTATCTAACAATTCACGACATACATCAAAGTAAATGTTGTTTCGAGTTCCTTCAAACGTTCCGTTATGTTTCATATCTTATATATATCTTTTTTATATTAAAAATATATTTTCATATTTCACAAAAAATTCATCAAAATAGATTTTGCATGTATTTAGAATATTATTTATCAAGATGAGAGATAACAAATTATTAGTTTTAACACTTAAAACATGTTTTTAATTGTTTTTTATTTATCTTTTAATTACCATCTAATTTTTAATCGCGATTTCACCTTATATTATTTTATCATATTCACATTATTCTTATAATTATTGATTATATATAGGAATTATGCTCATTCATTAAAAAGTCAAAATCGATGGGATTAGGTTAGTGTTGACAATCATAATATCATGTCGTGATAACACGTGCGATTTAGAGCGTGTTGTTGATGTAGTCCCATGTATGTCCGATCCTGAACGATTCACTACGGTTCAGTGCAACTCAAGCTCGGAACAGAAGCAGGGCATTGTGACGTCAATGCATGCTTCCCTAAACCTTTGTCATCACATTACAGACGATCAACGATAATTTTGTTGCACTGCTGTTGAGAAAACAAAATCTACGTGAATGTGATTTTTGATGTGCCTTTTTATAATCATCTGCACTGTCATAAAATTGCAAAATTTATTATGTTTGCTTTTCGCAAAGAAAAATATTAATTTTTCATAAATTTTTATAAGCTATTTTAATTAAATTATTAAGCTAAATGCGTTTTAAATAATTATGTTAATTTTTAATAATAAGAAGCAATATATTTTATTATTCACAGAATTTTTTTCAATATTAACTTTACTTCTAAAAAAAAATTAGTACCGTTTATCCTAGAAATTATGCAAAAGTATTGCATAATTTCTCCCCTATTTTTCTATTTCTGGTCGCAATCTATAAAAAACAACCTATCACCGATGCATCACAATGTACGACCATTTTAGCACAAAAGCATTCTTTTTTTCTCGGTTTTTTTTCTCTGTGTTCGCATTTCATCACATACGCAAACGAATAAAAATTTTTCTTATTCGAGAAAGAAAACGAGATAATGGACGTCAAAAAAAAAACGTTGATTTCCAATTAAAGAATCTCATAAATAACAAGCCTCTTCCTACCGGTCACAGATTTTGTTCAAGGTGAATCGCGATTTACCCGCCAAGAGATCGAATCTGGTTCTGCTTTTCTCGCTGTCCTCGTAGCCCTCGAGGTCGTCCTCGTAATCTTCGTAATCCTCAAGGACAGGACGGTGGTCCCCATCATTGCCACTAACATTTCGCGAGACAAGATTGTTGCTGGGTGGACCTCTCTGAGTGGCCTGTCGGATGTGGGCCCGATGATTGTTACTGAAGAGGACCGACGGAGGTGGTGGCGTTGACAGCTGAGAGCCTTGAAGACGACGCTGAAGATAACGGGCCAAAAGTGCTTGTACCGCGTCTGTCTCCGCCGTGCCTAGAAGACAGAAAGAGAGACTTGCTCTCGTGATCAGTCGACAACATCTTCCCGATTTTACGATATCCCGCTGAGTCCTTACATCCGCATTCTTACATTTCATTCTTTTCCTCTCGTCTCATCTCGATTTTTCGCCATCCATTTTTCTTTTCTTTTCTTTTATTCTTTTTTTTTCTTATCGTCAGTTTTCTCTTAGTTTTCTGCGACATAACAGTGCTCGCATTTCTCTCTCGCGAGATTGGAGATAAAAGAATTCGAGGCTCAATTCGAGGTCGTTGCCTGTCGAGAGGTCCTTCTTCTTGTATCATGTACGAAATGCATCGCGTGTACATCCTCGTGCAAGCGTTAAGATATGTGCAATCCACGTTTTGATGAGAAAGGTTCGACGATGAGTATAATTCCTCTTGCACAGTGGTGGATCAATAGAGAGATACAGACTCGTTAGTTCCAAAAAAATAATTGCGCGGGCAAAAAGATAGAAAAAGATATTCGCAGCCACCAGAAAGATCAGAATAACAAGACTTTCTAGTATTTAAATTATTTTAAATGTCATTAAATGTCATGTTATTTTAATTGTGTTGCGAATAATAATAACCATGATGTGTCAAAAGTACTTTAGCAGATGAAGTAAATGTCATTACAATTATTAAATTGTAGAAAATATATGCAATGATCGCAATGACAGATGATAGCAATGATGTACTAAATAATATAGTGATTAAAGATGTATGAGAGAAATGATTAAAGATGGTTCCTTGCTTTCAAAGTAATGTATGAACCAACGTAAACACAAGCGAGCGTGCTTATAATGCGGAGACAATAGGCGGTAGAATACTCGAGTCTGCAGGATGCTTCATTAGGATCCCTGCCTCGTTTGCGTTTGATGTTCCAAGAGCTTTCACGAATCATTGTTTAACTTCAATGTATATACCATTTGTAGTTACATCAAGGAGATAGAACAAGATGAATGGAATTACAAATCATTCGATATTGCTTTGCGAATCGAAGATGTGACACTGATTAGTCAACAACATCATAATATTATCGATTGTTACGCACAAGAAAATAAGGAAATCACTAATCTAACTTCATTATATTTATTACTATAGTTCAATTACGCAAACCATTACCACAAACTCATAAAGCTTTTTAAAAAATATCTATCAAAATCTGTATCGAGTTCTGTATAGTATAAGTTGTATTATTAGGGTAAATTAATTGTTTACCTCGTATCATAAGTGTAATTTCACTTTGAAGGTGTTTACAATGTTTTGATAGTATGAAATGTAAATAGTAAGCGGTATAAAATTTTAATTATTTACATTTTATATAGTCCAAAGTGTTATAAGCATTTATAAATGAAATTACAGTCATAGTATGATTTAAATACAAGATTTTTAAACAAGTTTATTTTACCATTTTTTAAACAAACATTTTTTAAAAATAATTTAAAGCATACGTATATTAATGACTTTTATTAAGTTATGTTTCTATTAAGATACAAATATAAACAGATTGTTATTATATTATTGTGTATAACTTCTGCTAGATTTAATTTTGTGTGTGTAGAATTAAAATTATAAATAGTTAATATGATTCCGCTGAATTTTATTTATGCGAACGTGTTGCTGATTATAAATGTCGCAGAAGTTCAAAGAGATAACGCAGAAATGGATAATTAAAGATGCGGTGGACTAAACGACGAGAGCTGTTGGAGGATTTGCGGCGACAAGAAATCCAATTTTCGGTAAAGTCCAGCACGAAGGACGAGTGCAATTACATCGATTTCTACCAGTAAGCTTGTGCGCCAACACTGCCTCGTAATTGAATTGGATCAATTGTATCGTACGAATCCTATCATTTCTTCCCTCGATCCCGTTTCTACTTTTTTATCTGGATTCTTTTTGCTGAATGAAGACGTCCATCAAATTGTTATTCTGAGTAGCAGCTTCATAATTAAATCCTACAAGTAAACGTTAATCCCATTATGAAAAAGCATCTGACAAACTGGCAGAAAACGAGCAATGCACGTTGCATGTGCATTCTGTTTTCTTGTTATATTTCGCGCAAGTTGGAAAATGCACGCTCGAGTTGACCGCAAAGGATCAACCTTCCGACACGGAGGTGATGCCCCGACAAGGATTTTCAGAGTCACCTCCGGAAATCTTTTGCCTGGCGCGAATCTTGTTAGCCTTGCTTTCGCGCGCGGACTAATTTGACAAACGTACATTAAAGTAATTGACACTTTACTTGTATCACGCGCTTTGTATTTATCTATCAAGTTGTCAATAATATTATTTTTAACTTTAATGTAAAAACTAAACTTTGCATGTTTAAATTAATTCTAACTGATTGACAGAATATTTTGATTGATCTGAATTCATGAAATATATCATATGCATTTTTATTTGTCAAATGCGCATGATTTTATGCAAAATAAATAGTAACGTTAATGTAAATGGTATTGGCGAATGAAAAGTAAATTAATAAAAATACTGATTGAATGGTGAAACGAACATTCAAAAAATATTGAACAAAACCACATGAGATAATAACATACTCGTACTACCTAAATTTTTTATGTTCTCGATTTGACGTGTGTGAAAAGTAAATACAACCAAAACTAATATTTGGCGGAGTTACGGCAATTAGAAAAATTCTCGTACATGTTTCCGCAAGACAACACGTAAAGCGTTACTCGATATCGGAAAAATAATAAAACGTCACATCCCGAAATATTCCACGACTGTTCCTATCTATTTTTTTGTGGCGAAAAAATCCAGAAGTAATCGCGCGAATAGTTGGAAAAACGTTTAGCCAGACGAACGTTTGTTCTTTATGACACAAAAAAGTTTTTCAATTTTGCTTCATTTGGAACTTTATAGACTTCTTCAACTTTATCGAACAATTATCTATATAAAGTCTATTAAAAATTATTGCAACTTAAGAATTGTTTCTTTAACGACAAGAAATTGGAGCAAGTGAAACGTAAAATAATTTAAAGACATAAGACACAGACTTTCATCGAGTTATACGAGACAGACACAAGAGGGAAGAAAATCTCGACTTTGCTTGTGAGAAAGAGCATGAAAATAAATCGTGGAAAGTCATAGGTTACGCCATGCAACAGATTGAATGGATTTCTTCGCGGATTCAACGCGAGATTCGTCCTAAGAGAAATTTAGCGTTCTCGACCGAAAGATGCAAATCCGCGGAAAACCGCCGCCAATGTGAAAATTTCTCTAAACCGGAATCCGAGATATCTTCTTGGACAAGGCAAATTCAAAGAAATCACGGAAGATTGGCATCAAAGAATTTGCAAAAATGCAGTCAAATGCTGCTTCTCCCCTTCGAGAAGAAATTTCTGCCAATTTGTTGTGAATAAATGAAGCATTTCCAAAAGAAGATTTCTTACTTTCTTTTGGCAAAGAACAAAGATCGAAGTAATTTCGAGAAAAAAATAAAGTAATACAAAACGGACAGAAAATCTGACATATTTTCTTTGAAAATGAAAAATTATTTCAATCGAATACTTGTAATATTGCAAGAAGTGAAACATTCAAAAAGAAAAATTCGCTATATCTTTGCACATGAACAAAAGCGTAAAAGTATACAAAATTTGGAAGCATTACAAACGAAAACATAGTACATCCCATTCAATTTCTTTTAAAAGTTTGTAAACTTTAGATTAGCATAAGTTAGGATTCAGCATAAGTAAATAAAAACAATAACGCATCTCAATAAATTGATAATTAAAATATCAATATTTACTACTTGCATTATTCGTAATAAATTTATTTAATATTATTTTTAACAATCCTTTATTTTAAAATATGTAGATATCTGCAATTTTTTTAAGCAAATCCCTTTTCCTGGAGTACTTTAAAGTCGTGAAAACTGCGGAAACTGCGCATCCCAAAATGATTAATGCGATTAAATTCAGGATCAACCACGCGATTCGACGGGGAAAAATCACAAAGTCTGAGTGAAATTTTTCTGAAATTGGATGGAGAATTGCTCGTGAGGACTTCTCAGGCCAGAATCCTAATTTGGACTGAAAATTCGATAGAATTTCGCTGTGTTAAATATTCTCCTCGAATGCAAGATCGACTCATTATCATTGTCTACAATGTCTTCTGACGTTTCGCGGTTAAAGAAATCATCTCGGTTGATTGGAGAAACGTAAGTGACCTTTGGAGAGATTTGAGCTTCGCTCGCGCGAAGCATTCTCGAGTGCACGAGAGAAGGTATGCATTAAAACGGAATGTCCCGCCTGAACTGATTTGCAAGTTTCGCGTCTCTCATCCGGCCCGCAGCCGGCGCGGAAACCAACCTTCTCCTGTAATCCATTGTCCCCACTTCATAATTCAATGACTTTCGGAACTACGTTTCCTGGACTATTTCCTCGACGGGTCTTCTGAATGTTTTATGCGATTTTAAGATTACCATGGTGGTAGCGGCTGGCGATAGCGCGCGATACGCTTTTACCGTAATTGGATCTAAATTCTGGAACGGACGAACAAAGTCTAATAATAGCTTCATTTCTCGAACGCAGGGTATTATTATATTGGAGTCAATGTTATCCTATTATAGAGAGTTATAAAGGCACTATCGACAGGAGCGCCAGCAATGGTATGAAATAATTTATAATACGTCATAACACACGATAATATAGCTTCTGAAATGGTATTGTAATAATATGAAAAGATAACATTTATAATGAAGATAGAAAAAGAATTATTTATAAAAATAATATAAGTACAAAAATTACGGGATACAGTTAAATAGAATATTCAATATATAATATTATGATTATTGATTCCTTTTTTGAGATGACACAATTTATTAAATATAGAACATTCCTTTAGATCGTGACTGAAAGAAGAATACGAGCGGTTCGTGCGAAGCAAAGCGACTGCTTGACTTGCAAAGAGGGAAATCAAACAGTTCGATTACCTACTTCAACGAAGCATATTTGTATAAATTTCGTTTCAACTGCC